GGTTAGTTCCATCAAAAAGTCCTTCTCGAAGGGTAGCCGTGTCCCAAAGCGTGAAGTAGGCATGTGTGTGGTTTAAGCATTGAAGTAGTTCCCTTTTATTGGGTTAAAAATTAGAGGACTACGGACATTGATAGTCGTAAAATCAGTATTGGGTCGGCTGATCAATGTAAAATGTAATAAAATATTGTTTGTATGAAAAGTATATTTAAAGGTATTTTTTAATTACATATTCCTTAGTGGCTAAATGTTTCTGTTTAAAAGTATTGAAGGAAAGAAAAGACAGTTCCCTCTTTTCTAGGTGTCTCAGAAAACAAACAAATTGTGAGGAGGGTCATTACTTCTCTCTCTAAAGGAGTCTTCTCAAAAGTCAAAAATTTTAAATTCGATTTTTCAGAAACTATTCGGCCGATGTTTTTATTTTGCCTTTTAAAATCTGTAAAATGTGTACTACTCGCAATTAAATTTGTTTCGACTATTTTTAAATAACATAATAATAAATAATTATTGAAAATTATTTTTCGTTCGGAACTATTTTTGAAAAAACGATTTTATTATTTCGTGCAAAAACTTTTCAATTCGCTTAAAACGTTCTCCAAATATATCGAAATATGCAAAAATATATATCTATCTGTCTATATTATCCCAGAGTGCGGTTATTTTGGGGGTACAGAATAAGAATTCGTTGTAAAGAAGGTATGTTTATTCAAAAAAAAAATGCTTTCTTGTGTATGATTTCATAACTTAAAATATCGTTTGCACTAACTAATTAGTGCATTTTTACATCCTCCTCAAATCAATAAGAGGTCTAGTGCGCAAAAATCCGATAATTAGATCAAAAATTAATCATTTTATTTTATTTATTTGTTTACTTTTTTATTTATTTATTTTTGAGAACTGTACTCGTTAATTTGTGTCTCAAATGTACCCTTAATATGTAATGTACCCAAATGTACCTTGTGACTTTGCTGATATAAATCTTGACATTTTTTGTAAAAACTACTCTTATTTCGTCTCAAAATGTAATTTAAGTTTCTTTCCTTCCAAGTCTTGGCAGAATTTTTTAAGAAATTGTGTATATTAAGAAACAAGACGGAAAGGTTAGTTAATTAGAAAAGATAAGATAATTGGAAAAGATTAGATAATTATCAAGATCTCAGTAAATTTTATGTTAACAACAAGACATATATATTACGTTTTGTAATTTGATATTTATTTAACGTTATTATTAAAAGATTTTCTGGGAAACTAAATTTCTCTACAAATATTTGCTAACTTCTTTATTCGTCTGATTTATTTGATCGTTTATTTTTGCAATTTCCATTGCACGTAGGTTTTTATTTATTTTTGCGCTTTGTAAACCTATATAAATTTAGCTAGGGAATATAATTTTTCCCAAAAATTACTTGATAGCAATAATCATATCTATCTGTTCCTTTGTTAACATATTTTATACCGAGAGTTTATTTTAAATAGTTTACTTCATAAATATTTTATTTCAAGTTCTCTTCATGAAAACTATTAATATGAACGAATTAGCATAGCGAGTGAATAAAGTAGGAATGAAAGGAAACCAATCAATGAATAGGTGTGTAAACAGCAGTGAATTTGTCGAGACATTGAAGGGCACTTAAGTGAATACTCAAATAAATTGGATAAAAATTTTAACTTATAAATTGTGCGGACGACAATTTTTCATTTCTTAAAATAATTTTTAAATAAATTGTGATTGTTCAAAACAGAATACCATTTTCCTTGCCAGAGGACATACTAGATGTCGCCGCTGGATATAGAACTCTCTTTAAGAACAACAATTTTTTTAGAGCTTTTGTGTTACTGGCGAACGGGAGATCGTGTTTTTTTTTTTTTTTTTTTTTTTTTGTAGTGTTGTTTTGTTAATATACACCTTCTAACTAACATCGAAAGAGTATTTATTCTTCAGTATGTGGTCATTTCTTTTAAGATTTATTTAGGTACGAACCGACCCGGGTAGAAGAACCAGGTAAGAAACCTTTTATTGATACCTGTTCTATTGAAATAGAAAAAGAATTAAGTTTTCTTTTTTGACATGGCATCCCTGCCGGGATTTCGGTTCGTATGTTAATAAAATAAGAATTATTATTATAAATATTTAATTGATAGTGTTATAAAAATAAATGGACACTGGAACTGAAAATCCTGTGAATGATAATAGCCCTAAAATGGCCACAGACAATGAACTCCTTAAAAAGAAACGCACTACGTTAAGAGCATCAGTTACTAGGTTAATTTCTAAGATTGAATCAGAAATTCAAAAAAAAACGAAATAACTGATGAAGAAACTGAAATTGAACTAATTATTGAACAATTAAATGATAAATTCGAGTCTCTCAAAACAGTTGATTCTGAATTAGAGAATCTGTTTAAACCACAGGATATAGATAAAGAATTAGAAACCGCCTAAGAATACCATGAAAAGATAGTAACTAGGAGATTTAAAATGATAAAATACAAATCCATATAAGAAGTTTAGAATCGTTAGGTATTTCATCAGTTACTTTTAGTACTTTATAATCCCCCGTAATACTTAAGTCAATCCCAAACGATTTAATATTTGAATTTAATAAAGAATTCGGAGAAAAATATTCTTTAACTGATTTGATTAATTTTTTGAATAAACAATTGATAGCTAAAGAAAAGACTGATTTAATGAGAGTGAAAGGAAAACAAAATTCACCGCCGTATCCGAATATTAATTAAGGTAGTTGGCGTCAACATAAAAATGTGCAGGGCAAAGTTTAAATGCTCTCATTGCAATAGAAGACACGTTGAAATTATGTGTTTCCAGGATAATAAATGTTCAAAAAATGAGAAACCAGAAATAATAAAAAATACTACACTTTCGAATAATAACTGTTCGCGGGAAGTTTATCTTCAAACTTTAATAGTATGCATTAAGGAAAATAATTTGAAACAGTTAATAAGGGTAATAATCGATCAAGGTAGTCAAAGATCGTATGTAACAAAATTTGTTGCGGGAAAAAGGAGTTTAAAAGGGTTCGGGAAAGAATCCGTGTATCATGGATTATTCGGTGGAATTGAACAAACTGAAATGCATCAAAAATATTGTCTTAACTTATCGAGTGTTGATGGAAGCTATAATTGTGAGTTAGAGGTTTTAGATGAGAAAAAGATTTGTGCTTCCTTACCCAAAATGAATGATGCATATTGTTTAAACGAATTAAAAGATCTGGGTATTTATATCAGTGATACGATGATTAATGATAGGTCCTGTTTATATGAAAGAGATTCTGGCGATATTCATTTGCTCATTGGAGCTGAATGCGCTGGAAAGATATTGACGGGAAAAGTAAAACACCTTAAGGGAGGTTTGGTTGCTGTACACACTTTGTTAGGGTGGATAGTAATGGGTAAATCTGAGGTAGAGGGAACATCTACAACCAGCTCTATGTTAGTATTGTCATTACATGTAAATAATGCAAAAATTGAAGATCTCTGTATACCTTAGGTATTAAAGATAGTAATAAAAAACGCTCGAAAACACAGACCCCAGAACTTGCTTTGAAACATTTCAGAGAAACGGTTAGTAGAGACAGTACGGGCAGACATACGGTTAATTTACCCTGGTTAGATAGACATCCTCCTTCACCAGATAATAAAGAGTTGGCATTTAAAAGACTAAAATACACAGTTAAATCCCTTAAATCAGCGAATTGGTTAAATGATTATTAAGAGGTTTTTAACCAATGGGAAAAGGGAGGTATAATAGTGCAAGTTAATGAGGGTAATGATATTTCTAAAAGCTTCGGAATACATTATTTGCCACATAGGGCAATTTTTAAAGATAATTCAACCACTAAAGTACGTCCTGTTTTCGATGGATCAGCTAAAACCAAAAACTCCGTATCAATAAATGAATGCATATTAAAGGGCCCAAATCTCATAGCAATTATCCCAGCTGTATTAAATAAGTTTAGATGGGGTAAGATCGGAGTAATATCGGATGTCAAACAGGCATTTTTACAAATATCTCTTAGCGAATCTGATAGGGATGGTTTTCGATTCATGTGGTTGAAAGACGGAGATCCTCAAAACACAATTACGTATAGACATTGTAGAGTAGTGTTCGGAATATTATGTAGCTCCTTGTTACTTGCGGCTGTTCTGAATCATGTATTAGATCAGGTAGAAGAGCAATTGAAAAGTGTTGCAGTGAAGGTCAAAGACTCTATATATGTTGATAATTGCATTGCAAGTGTAGACTCAGTTTCAGAATTGGAACATTTTAGATCTGAATCTCAGAGAATTTTGAAAGCTGCTAAATTTGATTTACATGGCTGGGAAAATAACTACCAACTTGAGATGAACCAATTTGTGCAAGATAATTCCAACTGTGAAAAGGAAGTGTCAGTATTAGGCCTAAAATGGGACAAGCAAAATGACACTTTATTCTGTGAGCTGGTTAAAGTAGAAAACAATAGTGAACCAGTTACCAAGAGAAAAATTCTATCTGTGGCACACCAGCTGTTTGATCCTATAGGGTTCACTTGTACTATAACGTTGGTCCCGAAACTTCTGCAAGAATGCTGGAAGATTGGAATTTCTTGGGATTCAAAATTGCCCGACGAAATAATTTAAAGATTCGAAAAATGTAAAGAAGAATTAAAAGAATTGAGCAACTTTAAAATTCCTCGTAGACTTTCAAACTAAATCAAGCTAAACACTTCATACCTTTTGTGACGCTTCCATGGTGCCATATGCGACTTGCATCTTTTTGAAGGCGGAAAGGGATGGGAAAGTTACTTGCCAACTTATTCAAGTAAGATCTAGAGTTGAGCCACTGAAAAAAGTGTCGATACCAAGATTAGAATTACTAGCATGTGATATTAGAGCTAGATTGGCTGATACAGTAAAAAAGGATTTAATATTGGAAGATATTGAAACATTTTTTGGAGCTACTCCATGGACGCTCTTTATTGGATAAGGAAAGAAGGCCCTTGGATGATTTTCGTATCCAATCGAGTTGATAAAATTCTATGATTTTCAGAAGCTAGTGATTGGAAGTTTGTTCCGGGAACACAAAATCCAGCGGATTTGCCTTCAAGAGGTTGCACAGTTAAAACCCTATTGAAGAGACAATGGCACGAAGGAACATCTTGGCTTAAAGAATCAAGAGAAAACTGGCCTAATTTTGATCTAGTTCCTGATGAAAAAATAGTGTATGCCGAGAAGAAGAAAATCATTGTATCATCTTTAAATATGAAAGATGACGAATTTTACAACAACATATCATCCTACAAGAAAATAATCAGAATTACAGGCTGGATATATAGATTTTTTGAAAATTCCAGAGCAAGCAGTAAGAAAACAGGAAAATTATCTGTAGAAGAGCTTATTAAAGCTGAACTCAAAATCTTGAAAAGGGTTCAAGAAGACTCATTCCAAGGCGAAAAATTGAAGAGTCTGAAACTCCTGTCGATATTTACAGACGCTAATGGACTTGTGAGAATTAAAACAAAAATCATTATGCGAGAAGACAATGAAAACTTTAAAGTTCCAATTATTTTACCATCTGATCATCATGTTGTTAAGAGCCTTATTTTACACAAACACCAAGAACTTGGACATCCTGGAGTACAATCTTTAATGGTAGCTCTGAGAGAAGATTATTGGATATTAAAAGCTAGAAGAACTGTAAAAAAGGTACTGAAAACCTGCATAACTTGTCAACGATTTAATGTGAAAAGACCTGAAATACCAGAAGGAATACTCCCGGAGGACAGAGTAAAAAACGCCTCAATTTTTGAAGTTATAGGAGTGGATGTTGCTGGACCGTTGCTTACGAAGGACAACAAGAAAGTGTGGATCGCAATTTTCACCTGTGTGATTTATAGGGCAGTACACTTTGAACTATTAACATCACTTTCAACAGATAATTTCATACTCTCCCTAAGAAGATTTATCGCACGCAGAGGACGTCCGTCAATTATCTACTCCGACAATGGGACTAATTTTATTGGAACTAACAACTCTCTGAAGAATATCAAACTAGAAAGACTAAAGACAACCTTTTCTCCAATTTCATGGAGATTCCTACCTCCGACTGCTCCATGGTGGGGAGGATTTTTTGAGAAGTTAATAGGACTTTTGAAAAGAATTTTGAGGAAGGTCCTAGGTCATACATCCTTGATTACCAGGAAATTGAAACTGTTTTGTGTGATTGTGAAAGCCAACTAAATTCAAGACCTTTAACATATGTTAGCGATGATCCCAAAGATTTATGTCCTTTTACACCTGATTTATTCCTGAAAGNGGTCCTAGGTCATACATCCTTAAATTACCAGGAAATTGAAACTGTTTTGTGTGATTGTGAAAGCCAACTCAATTCAAGACCTTTAACATATGTTAGCGATGATCCCGAAGATTTATGTCCTTTAACACCTGATTTATTCCTGAAAGACACTCGTACTAGTAGTACTACGGACTTGGATAGATTAAAGCTAACTGACAAGACGGAATTAAACAAAAGACTTGTGTATAGAAGAAGAATGATGACAGATTTACGAGCAAGATTCCGTAGTGAATATCTGAGTCAGTTACATCATAGACTGACAGTTCGAAAACCAACATACCATCCTAAAGTTGGAGATATCATCTCGATTTGGAATGATAATCTCAAAAGAATACATTGGCCCTTGGGAAGAATACTCTCAGTTTACACAAGTAAAGATGGACTGATCAGAAGTGCCAAAGTTAAGACCAAATCCGGAATTCTGATCAGACCAATTCAAAATCTCTGCCGATTAGAACTGGACGAGGAGAATCTCAACAGCGAAGACCAGCTGCCAGAGACTTCCAAAGGTGAGCCAGAAAGACCATCATCGAACATTCCTGATTCCACTCCTGCTACTACCAGAGTTGGACGTGTTGTTCGCCCACCCTCCAGATTTGGACAATGAGTATTGAGATTCGGTTCAACATGCTCCGAAACTCAAAAAGGGGAGTGTCCAAAACAGAATACCATTTTCCTTGCCAGAGGACATACTAGTACGGATATAGAACTCTCTCTTAAGAACAAAAATTTTTTGAGAGCTTTTGTGTTACTGGCGACCGAGAGATCGTGTTGTTTTTTGTAGTGTTGTTTCGTTAATATGCACCTGTTAACTAATTCGAAAGAGTATTTCTTCTTGAGTATGTGGTCATTTCTTTTAAGATTTATTTTTTACGAACCGAACCGGGTAGAAGAACCAGGTAAGAAACCTTTTATTGATACCTGTTCTATTGAAATAGAAAAAGAATTTTCTTTTTCGACAGTGATATGATATGGTCAAATGGTGAATTCTAAGTACCTTTAAATTAGCATTTAAACATGTACGCGAAACATCTCACAGAAACTATGTTAAGTATAAAAATGCTATGAAATTTAACCGAATGAAAATTTATTAAATTATAGAGTTTGAAAATTGTTGTTTAAAAAAACAGTACTTAATATTAACTAAAGCTTATTAAATGCACATTTTACAATGCAAGTGCTTTTTTCATTTCTATGAGTTATATTATGGGGATAGGAGTGCAAAAATTAATCCTTAAAACACGCTTCTGATTATATTGATTTGTATATTCTGTATCGCTGGTTTTTAAATTAACTTTATAAAAGACAAGTATTTTGAAACATTAAAATAAATCTCATCCTTAATTTAAGAACTTTTCGTCATTGTTTATTTCAGACTATTTTAACTGGTGCTTTTTTTCAGTGTAGGTATGCTAATTGAACTTTCTTTATTAAGTGTTTTCATTTTATTAAATATCTTAAGTATTTAGTTTTAGGATATAAAAGAAAACAAATACTTTTATTTGCGTTTTAATAATATTTCTTACTTAATTTTTAAAAAAATTTAGGAAATAATCTGAAACTAAATAAACGTTTAACTTTCGGAAACATTTCGGACTAGAGCTGGGTCTTCTAACAATGATGAAAAAATATTGAGAATTTCTGTTCTAATTGTTATTTGTTTTGCTCAAATATTTCTTAAATCAACATATAGATTTTCTGCTTGAAATATTGTAATTAAAGATAAAAGCAATTTTCTACAGCATTAAGACAGCGAGACAAAACTTCATTTAAAATTCAGATTAATTTTCAAGAATGAATTAAGTGGTAAAGCCCTGGACACGTCATCTGTCAGCAATGTAATTTTCCTTGTCAAATTCTACAGTTTTAAGCATGCTTGTAACATTCTTGCCGACCAAAATATCGAAAAAACTACGTCGAGCTGAAAGAGAAATTGTAGAAGAGGCAATTTTAAAATGCTTAAATTTGAAGCGAATAAGTTGAATGAAAAATTTGAGGAAAGTTTAAATAGTGTCCCCTCGAATTTTTACCTCTAAATACCTCCCTGGTAGCAAAACGATATTATTTAACATTCGAAGGATGCTAGAAAATGTCTTCCATCTCGAACTTTTAAAATTTCATTATCTTTGGTCTAGCATCACTTTTTTGGGGCACCTCATATTATTAATAACTAAATATTTATTTGTGGTAGAAAACAATAAATTAAAATATTCCTTATAATAAAATTTTTTATCAATGCATTTTTATGCCAGTTAAGGCACGAAAATATTAGTGGATGTAAAAAACTTCTTCAACTGTTGTAACTTCTGTTTACATCGTCTTTTCTCTCTTCCTGGACTCTCGGGTTTTTTTTATGACTCTTTGATTGTCATTATTTTCTTTAAAATTTTCTATTGGTTTGTGAGGCGGTTAATCATTTTATAAAATCATTGAAAAAAGCGATTTATTGCTCTTGAATAAAGGCAAGTGAACAAAAACTTGCTATAAAAGGAGGACTGCATCAAATAAGTCTGCAATTTTTTTTTACAGATAATAATAAATAAAATAAAAGCATATAATCCAATTGTTGCTGTTTGGAATAAATAATAAAAATTATTTTATTTAATGACAAATATGTGTTTCAAACTTTTATTTTACCAAAGGCTTACTGAAATGTTTATATTACAAAATGACGGTAAGAATATATTGTTTTTATAATTGAATGAAGTTTATTTTGTAGAGTGTTTTGTTTTAAAATAAAATAATTATGTTGCGAAATAGTAATGTTTGTGTTATTATTTTTTTTAATTCTTAATTACTATAGCGTGTAATTTATTCAGCAATTTTGTAATATATCATCAGAATTTTAAAAAATGGAAGTCCGCAGAAATGATAAGTGCTTTAATAAAACTATATAAGATGTAGTACTTTTTAATTCATTTTATTACCGTCGTTGATCAGCCGACCCAATTTTGGGTTTACGACTGCTAATGTTAGACTTCGTAACCTTGTAATTTTGTACCTGATTTAGCGAACTCATGGATCAGCAATTGAGAGAAATTCGCGGAGGATTTTTTGATTGAACATACCCGCATTTGCGTTACATGGAGAGGAAAACCACGAAAGCATCCCACGGTTAGCCTGACGGTGAAGGAACCCGTGATCCGTCTACTACTGAGGACATTTTTGAGTCAGCACTGAGATGGGTGTAAGTTGGGTTTAAAAAAAAAAAAAAAAAAAAAAAAAAAAACAGCCAGGGAGGAAAAACAATTACATCGGCAAAAGAAGAGTGAAAGAAAAATATTAGTATCTTGTGATATTATTGCTGTGTCATTAATTAATATATTAATTTTACGTAAATATTTATCTCTTTATTCCATTGGCATACAACAAAAACATTAAATATATCCTCCTACAAACTCGCATAAATAGCCTTTCCGTCAATTAATTTTGGTTCATTAACAAAAAAATTAAGGTAATAATAAATTTGACGAGTTCGAAGTTAAACTTCGTAAGATGACGGCCATAAAACGCGCAGCGATCTTTTGTAACCTAACACATCTTTTATTTTTTACAATCTAACAAGCCTTAATGCTATTGCATGAAAGCGATTATTTTCTTTCAAATTCTTGATATATTTACATAAACTATTTTGTTATTATAATTGAACGAAAAATATACGTCACTTCAATTTGAAGAGACGCCATTTTAAATTTCGCTTCTATTTTACTATTGGAACGCTTTGGGGGAAGCGACAGGTGAAACAGATTAACTTTAATGCCAACAGATGGCGCACAGACTGAATGAATATTAATGTTTTTATTTTGTTTCAGTGTTGATTTCTATAGCTTTGATGAAAGATGATCGTTTATATCAGAGGTCGCCAAAGTGGTCTATATAGACCCCCAGGGGTCTATTAAACAAAAGCGGGGGTCGATCTGAGACAGGGGGGCGAATGGGGGTCGATCCGAATCGGAAGGGTCGATTGTGGGTCGAAAAAAGAAACAGTTCTCAATACGCAAATCACACATACCTAATTAAGTATGTAAAATTTGTGAATTTTTTTTTCATAATTGACTCAATATCAGTTTCTTTATAAAACATAAATTAATAAACGTATATTTATTGGGGTGAAACAAGTATTTACGTCCCACCGCTCAGTGGCACGAACTCAGCGCAGTTTATAAGTCATATGCATATGTGCGCTTGTCCAAATGTCACGTGTGACGAGCATTGACGTTACAAA